GAGAGAGAGAGAGATCCATGTATAGACTAGACCTTGCGATCTCAAGCCGTGACTAGGAACACCGCCTACTCGCAAATCAGCGGGCCGAATTTCGAGAGGCCCATGATTTACGAGCGTCGTTGCTAGGCAACCGCGGTAACTCGCGATCACCCCATTTGTTCCCGATTGTCAAAAATCGCATGCGAAACTTGCGGCCATAATTGTAAACACGCGTTCCGATAGTTACCCCGCCAATCATCTATACATAATCATCTATACGCGCTGTATTCTTGCGTCGGCATAGAGTTCATACAATAGCTTTAATTGTTAATATCAGCGGTCATTATTAATATCAACATTGTCAAATTGTTATTTTCTTTTCTTTTTTTGTTTATAAGTTTCAATTATAATAATAACTGAAATAAATTTTAGTTATTATTTCATATAAATCAGTTCTCAACAGTTATTCTAATTGACTGAACCCGTCAACCCGGCGAGTTTATTCCGCGTACGCAACACAACCTCCGGGAGAAAACTCTTGTTTTATATATATATTAGGTGTACAAAAAAGTTCTGAGCTTTAGATTTCATACAACCAAAATAACCGAAATAACAATTTAAATTTTATATATTTTCCCGCCCTTTTGCGGTTTTAAAGCGTTGACATTTGGCCTTCTAAAATGCCATACGGTTTGGCGTTTGATGCACATAATTTCAAAAATCAGTAGTGTTCACGATGGCAATAACAAAAGAGCATATTCGATTTTCCATCCATTTCATGTTTCATCTGAAGAAAAATGCTGCTGAAGCCACTGCAATGATTTGTGCTGCATATGGAGAGAACGCTGTAAGTCATACATAAAGATGGTATCAAAAATTTCGCCAAGGAGATTTCAGTCTTGAAGATGAACCGCGTGCTGGACGCCCTCGAAAGATTGAAACGGACGAATCACAAGCACTGCTGGATATAAACTCTGCGCAAACTGAAAAGGAGCTTGCAGAACAGCTTGGCGTTACACAGCAAACCATTTCCGTACGTTTACATCCGATGGGAAAGATTCAGAAGAAAGGCAGATGAGTTCCGCATGAATTGTCCGAAGACAATAAAAATCGTCAGCGTGACACTGCACTCACTTTGCTTTCAAAGTTCCGGAAAAAAGATTTTCTGCACAAAATCATTACAGGCGATGAAAAGTGGATTCTTTATGATAACCCTAAACGTAGAAAATCATGGGTTGACCCTAGTCCTTCGACATCGATGCCAAAGCCCAATATCCACGCCAAGAAGGTTTTGTTCTGTATCTGGTGGGATTGAAAAGGTGTGTTGTATTACGAGTTGTTACAACCGGGTGAAACAATCACGGCAGACCGCTACCAACAACAATTGACCAATTTGAGCGATGCATTAGAAGAAAAGAGGCTATTTACTGGCCAAGAACGTCGTAAAGTGATCTTGCTTCATGACAATGCTCGATCATGTTGCGAAAACGACTCAGGACCATATCTTTGCGTTAGGCTAGGAACTTCTCCCGCACGCGACGTATAGCCCAGACATGGCGCCTTCCGATTACTACCTATTCCGGTCGCTGCAACATCATTTGGCTCATACACATTTCGTGAGATTTAAAGAGATACGAAAATGCATTGATGACTTTATCGCTTCGAAGCCGGTGAGCTTCTATCGTCAAGGAATTCGCAAGCTACCCGAAAGATGGCAAAAGGTCGTTGATGCAAACGGGGAATATTTCGCTGGTTAATATTTTTTTGTTTGTTTTTGAATAAAGATTGAATTTTACAAAAAAAAGCTCAGAACTTTTTTGTACACTTAATAATATATATAATATATTGAGTCATTGTGTTAAATTATATATTCAATGAAACTATTTTCTTTATTAAATGTTAGAATTAAATAAACACATTAATATATTGACTCTTATTATACAGGCCCACTGAAAACGAAACTGAATAGAAGAAGACTGAAGAAAAATTGAAGTCTGAATAAAAATTATTATTCGAAGAAACAGGTCAATTTTTATTTATACTTCCCTAGTATGTGCAGCAAGTGAATTTCATAGTATTCGTTGTTTTTACAATTCTTAAAAGTTTAAATAATAAAAGTTTAAATTATAATTTACTCGAGTGTAGAAAGAGTTAAAATGATTGCACTTTTCTTTGAAAACAATGAAATGTGCTCACAGAATAGCCAAGCTGTTCAATCAATAACATGCGAAGCATGTTAATCGCAAATATATTTTGAAGTTAGCAAAATTTTAGGAGATAGGATTTGTAGTCAATAAAAAGCAAAATACTGAGAACTCGGAAATGAAGTAGTGAAAATGGTAGTTCTGAATCATGTTGTTATCGATTCTACGTTTATAGCGAAGAAATTGTATGACATATTTAATATTAGTATTAGTATATTCAATGAATTTTGTATTAGTATTAGTATTAGTATATTCAATGAATTTTGTAACACCACAAGTTGTATTCATAAAATTCAATTACTACAGAAATTTAATGAAAACCATTTTGACCATCTTTATAATTTTATAAGTGAACGGGCAAAGAATAATCCAAATTTCCTTTTCAATATCTGTTTTTCCGACGAATGTTTTTTTTATCTAAATTTTTTTTTTATCTAAATGATAAATCCTTATAATCGGTAAATCCTTATAATTGTTCTGGACAGATTCTAATATGAAGATATTTCACGAAGTTCATACCGACTCCAGAAAATTTAAATTTATATTTGGGCTAACATTTTTGTTGATGTTGGTCCCTTTTTTCTGATAATTTGATTGAAGATATGTATTCAGAATTGCTTGAAGATATTATCCAACATTGATTGATATTAGCAAAAATGAAAATGAGCATATTTCGAAGATTAATTGGTATTCCAATAGAGTGCAGCTTTCCCACATTATGCACTGCCTGTTCGTGAGTATTTAGATTAAACTTTCTCGGGTCGTTGGATTGGAAGAAGAGGTGCTATTGAATGGCTTCCTCGGTCCCCAGATTTATCTGCGTTGAATTTTTTTTTGTGGGGTTTACTTAAAAGTAAAATTTATGCAACACAGTTTCTTTAGAAGATTTATATCAACGAATGCCATTATATTATCAATGAATGCCATAAAATCATTCCATAAATGCTCCAGAACGTGCGAGCAAAATTTCTATTATTGTATGTAAATTGATAGTTAACATTTTGAATAATTATTACGCTAATTTACACGATGGTATGTCTTTAGACGCCTGTTGCTACTAATTTGATAGAAAAGTAAAGAAAAAAATTTGAAGACTTACTTAATAAATATTTATTTTTTAATAATTTAACAGTTTGTATCTTTTAAACAAATTATTCTAATTTAAAAAATCAAACATAGAAATACAGAAAATTGAAAGATCTTTCTAATGATGTATAATTTAACTTCCCTTCCTATTTGAAATTGTTGAGGGCTTTGTGCCCCCGCTCAGAGAGTTGAAGTTGGGAGAGAGAAGAATTTTATATTAAAAGATGTCCTACTTCAAATAAAAATTGACCTGCTTTTGCATTTTTTCGAAAAATTATTTTTGTCGGAAAATTAATTCTGTTTCGATGATTCACTATATATTGTACATTATTCAAAAAAATAACAGAGAAATATAAGATGCTATTTTGCTTGCATGAAAAGTAATAAAAGTTTATATTTGTTTATAAAGGAAATATTTCAACTATATACGTTTAATTTTTTTTAACAATATCTATTGAAGATCTGTCATATATCTTTATTAATGTTCAATGTTCAATTGTATCAGCATTCAAAGTATTCCTATACAATCACAAAAAATAAGTAATAAAACATGGAAAAAAATTGAAATGGATAGTCGCTCGTGAGAAATATACGCATTTTTTAAATATAATTTTTTTAATTATGATGTAATTTTATTATAATAAGAATGACGTTATTGGTCTATAACTAAAAACTATCATTATGACTTTATTACTGATGTTTCTTGCAACGTGATTTTAGAAATATTGGTTCACAGATGTCATATTGATGCTATTTTGTTACTTGATATATTCAAAACTTTAAAAAGTATTCTCTTTTCTTTCACTGTGGAGCTGGATATATTCTAGATATTTATGAAGACACTATTAATTTATAATTTATAATTTTTTCTTTGACGTACTTTAAAACGATATTTCAAAGATGTCATATCAGAATATAAGATATTTCTAAAATATTATAAAGATATTTTTGATTACTTTCTAAGATATTTTAAAAATATTAAAATGTCTTTTAGACATTTTTTTAAAGATTTCTTACGTTGTTTAAGAATATCACACTTATGTACAATAAATTTGTTTCTAACATAATGTTATTTCATAATAAAAACGATTGATAAAATAAAATAAAATTCCTTTTTGCTGGAAAAACAAGAAGAATAGAAAAAATAGAAAACATACGAGCATATGTTCAGCAAGCCATCCTTCCTTCCTAGCTATCGTCGAACCAATTCGAAGCGCGAAGCACTTTTTCCCTAGCAGAGAATTTCCACCATAACCGCTTCCATAAGATACAATTTCATTTTTGGCAGGTTTGTGAAGAATAATTGTTCTTTCGGGATCACATGGCCACGAGTGAGTTATATTAACTTTTGAATTATTTCTTGGAACACCTACTGAGTGTAAACATTTAACGAAATCATCATTTCCCAGAGTTTCAAGTACCTTTTCTCCCATTCTAGTCATTATTCTCATTGAGCAAACTACGTAAGCCGAATCGGTAATTTCTATACCAATTTTCGAAAGTGGAGAGCCTATGGGTCCCATACTGAACGGGATCACATACATAGTCCGTCCTATGTCATAAAAATCTAATTATACATTCATATAACATTAGATATTTTGTAATTGTTTATATAAATATATTTATAATATATATACATTTTTTTATAAGATATAGAATCTATAATCCATATATGACATATATTAATAAATAAAAAATCAAAAATATTCAATTTCTACCTTTCATACAATTCGGGAAACGTTCTAAAATAGCTTCATCCATATCATTCGGAGAAATCCAATTTCCAAGCTCTCCAGTTATACCTTCACGTGATATAGGAATAGTATCACTTTTTATATCTGTACTAATAAATGTACGTTTCTCGACACGAGCCACATCTGCAGGATTAGTTCTTGCTAACCAGCTGTATATACATTAAAATAATATAGACATTATTATATTAATTAACAGAATTTAATACTGATATAATAATATAATAATTAATATTTAATGTATGTATTATATGTAGGCTATTTGTTTGCTGCTGTAAGTATTGATATAAAAATATAATGAAATAAATCAAGCAATGAGAGGGGGAAAGGAGAGAATCAGAAATCAAAGTTTTATATGTTTTTTATTAACATGGATTATTAATTTTGTTAAATTAAATAGACATATTTATGTCTAAATATAAAATATTTCGTAAAATAAAAATAACATAACATTTACATATTTAATATGATTAATTTCATAATAACACTTTAATTTACACACATAGGACAAGTCTTAAAGTTTATCATAAATTGATATAACTGATGCTGTTCTTGTACAAAAAAAAACAAACCTAATGTTAATTTCCTTGACATATAATTCTATTACATTCAAATTTGCTCAAATTGTCTGAAAGGCAAAAAAAGAGAACAAAGAGTACATTTTCGCGGAAAAAATAAAAAAAGATCAAAGTATCTACATTTTCTTTTCTCAAATTCAAAAAAAGTACATGATTCTTCACATGATGAAAAGAATAGTCTGGTCACTTTTTTTATTAATAAATATACACAATATATTTCATAAGCCCTGAGACTAACAAAGAGAGGGCGCGGACTTGGAATCCGATTTTAAAAAGGCTTATGTATGTTAAAGTACTCTACTGGAAGAGTACTTGAGCAAAAGGATAGGATATACTCAGCTGTTTTCGAGAAAAATCAGTTTAAAGTTTATAGTATTTCTTATATACTGGTCCCGTTAAGCCTATTGTCGCCAAGATCACTCGGGCGCTATAATACCCTATAATACCAATCTGTCGACCCAAGTTCAATTCCTGCTTACACTTTTTTTAATCTAGAAAATATTTATTTATTACATTATTATGTATTAAATATATATTATATTATTATGTAAAATAAAATTAATTTAATTAACAATTGTTTTCATTAAAAATTTTCACTTTTAACTTTAATTAATAATTTAAAATAGTTATTATAGTTAATAATTAAAGTTATTATTTAATACAAGAAATATTTTATTTATCGTAATTTTATTTGATCCGTAATTTTTTATTCAACGTTAAGTTACTCACTGCTCCAACTAATATTTGTGTATTTGTATATCTAACATCCTCAGGTAATAGTTTTTGGCCTCTCTTCCAGACTACTTCTCTACTGTAACGTATATCTTTATACAAAGAAATTCGAAATCCCATCAATGGATACATCTGTAATTACGGATGTTCCGCGGAAGCACCGAGATTCCTTGCGGAATGAACGATCGGCTGGGAACTCCCGGTGGCGGCGGATTATTCTCACCTCAGCAATGCGTTCTCGCTCAGAATCGTGGAGTGCACGCGGGTTTTGGGCGATCGGCCGGAAATGTCCCGGTGGAGGAAGGTTACCCTCACATTCAACGATGCGCTTTTCTTGCGAGTATTGGAATAAAATCGAGCTGGATGCTGGGCATCCGGACAGAGCAGGGATCACCTCAACTCGTAGTCTTCCTCGCAGTTGCGGAAAACAGCGGTTCGGAAGACGTGGCTTGTTAGGAATTTTCAGATGACGGTGGGTTTCCTTCACCTCGTTTGCTCGGTCTCGTCTCGAAGAGCGGAGCTCCGGATCAGCTCGTAGGAGCGAGCGTGTGATCCGAAGGAGATCTGTAGTTCTGTTCTTTTTGAGCAGAGACAGCTTTTTATACCGTCATTCCAATCCGATATTCAGGCGGATTTGGAATGGATCGAATCATGAGTAGTAATTAAGCTGCCGCAACCGCTCTAATGAGATTAGCAATCTTTTTATCTCCGGTGGAATTCAGAGAAGATCGGAGATGCTCGGATGTTTTCCGCAGTGGGAGTGCTTTTGTTTTCGGACGTACTCGGCGGTCTTCGGTCGGACTCAGTGGCGCGGCGTGGAACGCATCCCACGCAATCGGTATGCGTGATCGTCACGTAATTATTTGTGAGTCTAATTTTATATATTAAAAATGGTCTCGAAACGATGCATAAAAATATGCACCGTTACAACATCTACAAACAAAGTTGTTACAATTGTTGCATTGTACAGTCGTATTAGTGTTCTTGTGGTTTCCATTGAACGCATGGCCCGAATCTTCTTTTTCCCAAGTTTGTTGAAAGCAAAATTTTTATATTTGGAAAGAAAAATTGAAATATCCTTTGGCAAAGATATAATTTTTGTCCTGTTTTCGAGATGCTTCTTCAAGAGAAATAGTGCTAATTTAGTCAAAAAGTCTCGCCTTATAACAGAACTAGTAGGATTATTTACTTGAAAAAATACATAGGTATTTATGCTAGCAATATCTAAGTGGCGAAAAAACGAGGAAATGGCCAACTTCAAGTTTTTTGTGCCGCATTATAAACGGCACATTTTTTATCCATCATGTCGATTCCTATTTTGGTCAGAAACGTATGATAGAAAATACAATCGTCTTGAAAATCAAAAAAGGAAGAATCTACTTTATGAGTTTTACTGGTATAAAGTTCTGGCAGAATTTCTCTCTTATTTTTTTTTATCGTGCTTGTTAACGTTAGACCATTTTCCAAACGATACATAGCTGGATAATTCGTATAATAATTGTCGGTAGTTACATTTCGTTTTGATTTCTTTATCGGTTCAAATAGTTTTTTCATAATATCCATTGGTTCGTTAGAAGTACAATATGGCCTCTGTTTTTGCTTCCCACAATATATTTTAAAATTAAATGTATAAAAAGTTTTGCTGTTACATAGTGCATATAATTTTAATCCATATTTAGCTGATTTATTTGAATGCAGAAAACTGCATCGTCCTTGAAAGAGTGTAACATTTCATCATCGTTACGTATTCCGACAAGCTATAATTTCTCTTACAATTTTCAACAAAATTTGTATGGAAATCCCTAATTGCTCCATTTTATTATCTTAATAATTATATTTGATGATTTTAGTTTTATAAAAAGAGGATAAGAAGAGAGAACGTGTGCCTAGTTTATCATTTTCCGCGCGATCTTTTCTTGTATATTATTAAAACGCATTGCACGCAAAAGAAATATAAATCTTTTGTAATCAAATGCAGCTCTACATGTCATTAGACCAGTACCATCAGATTTCCAAAATTCGACGATATCTTAATCCTGATAATATCAGGATTAAAATATTTTGCTTAATAAATTCAACGTAAAAATTCAAGTGATGGATAGACTTTACATTATTAGAAAACAATTTCCATTATCATTAAGTTATGAAATCACATAAAAGCCAAGGATTAAGTTTATAAATGCCATTACATGGACATTGATAATTTTGTATTTATAATATGGGATAAATTTATGTTGCTTTGTCACGAGTAATATCTCAAGAGGGTTTGCATTTAATTAATTATGATCTTTCGTCTGTTTTCTAAAAGTTAGCGTTCTAAAAGTTAGCGAAAATGATATAATTGAATATAATTGATTGAATCCTGTTTGCCTATCCATTCCCGATTGCCTACAGCTTCGTTTGCACAGCATGTTGCACCACGATCATATTGTACACAACACACACGACCGTATTGCGCACAACGCATTACACACACGATCATATTGTACACATCGAAGGGTCTTACAATAGCTCTAACTTATCGGCCTGATTTATCCATAAAGTCGATAATGATGAACTCGCGCGCATTGAAAGGAATATATTAGCAGTAATATAAAATAATAATAAAAATAATAAATAACACTAATTTTGGTAACTATACCGATGAGGGGAGTCTGCCCCGATGACTTTGACTTTGATATCAAGGTCATTACCTTGAACAATATTCAAAATGTTTTAGCTATCGCTCGCTCTTTATTAAAAAGTTAGTAACAAAAAAAGTATTAAAAATATTGTTATGACCGAGCGGTCGTCAAGTTCCGCTCGACGCTACCCTCATATTGATTTCCAACCTGAAGATCATTCCTTGCCGACGCGGTCGTCAAGTGGTGGTCAAGCGTTGTTGTAGTGAAAGAGTCGACGGCGTGGCGCGCGAGTTTGAGCCGAATCGCGGTGAATTTCGATATTATTAAAGAAAAAATTCTTGTGTCTTTGTAAATAATAAAGTGTGTTTCTCCGTTTTCTAAAAACTGTCTCTTCCTTCCCTGGCGTGAATGTAACGAGTCAACTTGCCGCGAGCGCGACAATATAATAATTTATATAAATGCTGCATAATTTGCTAATATATGCATAAAAAAATTGTAAATCCATATGGAACTTTGCTTCATGTTGAAAAGTGTATGCGTGGAGACAGTATGTTCCGTCCCCCCCTCCCAATATTTTACATTATTAGTCTATATTTATTATATTTATTAATATATTAATATATATTAGCATATATTTTTAGTTGCGACCGAGCGGCGTTCCGCTCACCCTTGCCCCGGAAGAATCAATACTTCGAAAATCGATATTTTGAAAAAGAGGATTGTTCCTTAATGATGTGTCATTTGATGTTCCGATTACGCAGTATGTTGTTGTGTTGTTTTCGCGGAACGGTGGCCGATGGACGTGTGTTCACGGGGAACCAATTGTCTATTTGCTTAATAAAGTTCCATTCTTTTAGTGAAGTGTGGTCATTTTGTGCTCTTCCGCTTGTCGCGAAACGTTATCGTGACCGTCGACAGTATATTTATCAGTGGTCAATACCACTGACATGATTTGAATTTCCAATTCTGCATGCAGCCTCAATTATTAAAGAAAGTCTATCAAAGAAGGACAATTCTATAAAGTAATGAATATCTTCATTATGGAGCATATATTGGAGATATTATTATATAGAGTGCATAAAAAGTACCGGGACAGAAAAATATCTAGAAAACTAAGCATTTTAGGAAAGTGTTTCAGATAAAAGTTGTAGAGTTTCAAAAGATTTATCGATGGTATAAATTTGACCCAAATAAGAAGGGAGGGTGTGCGTCACGACG